ATGTAATCTAAGCTGTTCCATCCTCTGCTATGACTTTCTTAAAGAAGCTTAGACCCGCTGGTCCTTGGCGTCCTACAATGATTACGGGCTGACCAAGATGGGCCCCGAAGCCGTGGCTGGACTTCCCGTGTGTGCACATCTACCCTAGAAAGACACAGCCGCACCAGCTTTGCCGTTGGTCTTGACTCGGATCCCCAGCGCTTTGTCTCGGTTAAGATGTGTATAGCATTGGCAAGTGGCTCCAGCCATGAGAGGAGTCAGACAACTCTTTCTAAAAAGGACCAGATAATAAGCATTTGCGGTTTTGCAGGACATATGGTCTCTGTTGCATATTCATCTTCATATATATATATATATATATATATATCCTGAAAAACACGAAAAACTTTCTTAGCTTGTGGGCCACGCAAAAACGGGTCTAGGGCTAGATTTATCCCACAGGCTGTAGTTTGCTGACGCTTGACTTAGGACAAGGTCTAACCCAGAATCGAGTCTGAACCCCCTGCTTGGCCCGGGTCAAGGGGCCAGGCTGTGCAGGGGAAAGAAAGGCGCCTCACTCCCGGAATGGTCAGGAGCAGGGTCCTGCGTTTCCAGATTGGGTCTATAAAGCTCCCCCCAAATCGAAGCCCCTCTGCGACAGTCACATCCAGTGGTCGGTGCGCAGACCAGGAGGGAGTGAGGAAAGTGGCGTCACATGCAGCGCCAGATGCCTGTGGATAGTACGGAAAGGCAGGTCCCACGGGATCCCTTACAAAGCAATCGTCCGCGTTGTGGACGATAGGCTCGGTTGGCTGCTGCCCCCTAGTGGACAGTGCCCGCCTTTACCATAGCCGGGTCAGCCCAGTAATTTAAGGGAATTGTTTCCGGGACTGCGAAGGAGGGTGTGTGTGTATGCGTGTGTGTGTCTGCGTGTGTGTGTTTCTCCAAAGGAGTAGCTGCCACCAAAACAGATGACACCAAGGCCAACCAGCTGTGCCCTTGACTACCATTTACATCTAGCCATTGCCGACCTTAAGTCATTGAGTTGGAGTTGACCCATCCTAAATGCGGATGTGTGGCCAGGAGTCGAGGCCTCCACCCGGCAGGCGCTTCCTTCAAAGCACGGCTTGACGGCCACACTTCCCAGAGGGTGCGCTTGGCTACTGCGCCCGGCAGGTGGCGCTGTGGTACCGGGAAATGGGTTCTGATGATCCCGCAATTTAGAGACCCTTTCTCAAACATAAATGGACCTCAACGCCCCTGGGTTCAACCTCTACAACCGACAGGAAAAAGCTGTCACTTCCTTTCCTCCTGGGATGCCAGTTGTTTCTGATACCCGACACACGCAACAGCCCCTCCCTGGGAGAATCCCAATACTTACGGGGCCCTCGAGGTACGAGCATCTGAGAAACCAGCGTCCACAAACTTTGCATTCAACATCAGATGCCCCAGTGCGTGGTGGTGTACATCTGTCATCCCAGAACTCGGGAGGCTGAAGCAGGAGAATCGCTGCCTGGGCTATATAATGAGTCCAAGACCAGCGTGGACTACATAGCAAGACCCTGCCTCACTCGGCTATGCTGCCCCTCTCACACCCCAGGCTCTGCCCCCCAGTCCTCCTTCCGTGGTCGCCCCTGCACCCATCTGTGGGTCTGGCCCAAACTGGGGTGCAGCAGGGGTGCAGAGCAACAGTGGTGCCCTCTGTGCTGTTTCTAGTCCACCCAATGCTTTTCCTCCCCTCACCGAGGATTGAGCCCAGATCCTTCACACTGAGCTATATGCCCTGTCCTTTTTTATTTTTAATTTTAAGACAGGTCTCACTAAGTTGCTAAATTGCTGAGGCTGAGCTCAAACTTGAGACCCTCCTGCCTCAGCCTTTCAGAGTACACCACCAGCATGCAAAGCTTTATCTCCATTACCAAGGTCCTCCTTGCTGACAGTACTTTTAAAGCCTCTTCCCACTTAGGAGCCTTGTGATTGGGTCTCAGGACTTGCAGCCTCCTTGCCAGGATCTCTCCCCCATCTCCCTGCCCAGGGAGGGCCCCTTTGATCCGCTCCTTTCCATCCTACCTCTGGCCACTCAGCCCACCTCTGGCCACTGTCAGATAGGAGAGTGGAGATCCTTTCTCCTGGCGCCCTCTGCTGGCCCTCAGGTAGTCTTCTCATATCCTGAACCATCCTCTGGTCGGCCTTCCTATTCCAGAAAGCCCTACCTCCGCCGAAGTCACACCCTCTTTGCCAGCACTTGCAGGTCTGCTCTGCGATTTTGCCTCCTTACAAGTCAGCCCTCTGCTGCCTCGTAGACTTTGCCAGAAGCCATGAGACTCCTGGGTCAGAGATGATTGATGTTATTACTCACAGCTGGGCAGGCAGCATGAGGATTGGGAAATCCACTTCCCTTCCGCTGGACCCCACAGGGCTGTAACTCTGTGGGACCTGGGGAGGGTGAGGAGCCCCTGGGCAGAGCTTGATTTAAAGGATTCCTGCTAAATGGACTCCACTCAAACTTGGGTGGAGTCCGGTCACTTGCTAGAGTAGCTCAAAACAACAGCCAAGCAAACGAACCACCCCGGAAAGGCAAATACAACTGCAGTCTCCCTTGTCTAAGTAGGCACCACTGCAGCCCTTCTCCGAACTCTGCTTTCAGACGAGGACACAGAGCAGCACGGAATGAACACATGCTGGTGACTGTCACACCGGTGTCTTCTCAACTTATTTCTTGCTGGTAGAAAAAGAAAGTTGCAGGGACCTTCTCTTGGTCCTTACTGTCCTGTCATCCCTCATCCCATGGGCACTGGGAATTTCCCCAGATGGCAAATGTGTCTCATACCATTATAAACTGTAAGGAGTGGGGTCTAGACCCACAGAACTCATGGTGACGAAGTACTACGGCAAAAACTTCACTTATTCCTAACCACCACATAATCTCACTCTGGTAAATCACAGTAGTAGCATTTGGCCCCATGGAGAGAGGCTCCAAGTCAGTGTCTAAGTCAGGCACTGCGGTGCACACCTGCAATCCCAGCAATGTGGGAGGCTGAGGCAGGAGGGTCTTGAGTTGAGCGCCAGCATGGACAACTTAGCAAGATCCTATTCCAAAAGAAATTAAAAGGGTGGGTAAAAAAAGAGGTGGGAGATGTAGTTCCATGACAGAGCACCCCTGGGTGCCCCAGTACCAACAAAAGAGGGTGTAATCCCTGAGAAATCTGAGCATCTTCTTTCCCACATTACACGGCTATGTTCAGAAACACCTACTACAATGTCAGACACACAGCCCTCTGTGTCTCCAATTCACTGCAATCACCACCATCCTCATTACCATGATCGTTAGCGCCTGGGTGGGTGAGGCTGATTCAGTGTTTCCGGAAGTCTGGGCGTCACACAACACTTGGCAACGTTTCAAAGCTACTGTGAGCCCCGAGAGGCAGCCAGTTGGAAACCTTCCAATTTGGAGGAAGGATGTTTTGGTTTGGATTTGGGGATGTGTTGGCTGTTGGTGGCTTTCTTGCCATTTAACTAATAATTGCTGTCAGTTCAGCTTTGTCATTATCAGTTTAGTTTGCTATGAGTTATTTAGTTAAATTGCATGTGTAATGATGCAACTGCCTCAACTCCATGTGTGCGTGGCCTACAATTTTCCACTAATTAGACTTTTTAAAGACAAATATGCATTTATCCACTCAAATCTGCATCATGTTTGCCTATTGCCAAGCAGATGTACTCAGCACTCACCCACCCACCCCTCTCCAGGAGATAATCTGCCTATTATCAGTGAGCTACTTTTCCCCTGAGAAATAGACTGATGGGGCCCAAGATGGGTTCTCGCCCCCTGAAGTGAGGACCGGCAGAATAACATAGATAAGACACTCAGGATGTGAGTCAGGCAGGACCAGAGGGGCTGGAGGGACAGACACCCAGACATGTGAACCCACCAGGGTCCCAGAGCTCCCACTCTAGCTCCGGCCCCTCCCAGAAGAATGCAGACACCAACCAGTTCCCCAAGGATCAAGCGGCCGAACACTACTTATCTCAAAAGCTTTATTTCCCCAGTGTGGGGAAGCTGGGAATAGGGTCAGTGGTCCCCACAGCCCCAAGGTCCTTCCTGTGTCCCCCACTGGGCCAGCAGTTCAGGTTGCACAGCCTGATCCCCCCAGAGCCAGGCCGATGCTGGAAGAGCCGGCCCTGAGATGGTTGGCTTGGGCGACACTCCCCAAGGTGTCCCCGCTGTGGTCCGGGAGCCTGGGGCCCAGCTCAGGGACAAGGCCATTGGACACACAGGGGGGTCACTTGGGCCTTGTCTCGGAGCAGGATCCTCAGGGCCCCTCCTTGAATACCACCAGCAGCACTCAGTCTGCAGGGAAGAGAAGTCGTCTCACCAGTAGGTGACAGGGAAGAGGAACAATGGGAGACTGGAAATCGGAAATCCGGAGAAAGCAGCACAGAAGGCACAAAGGAGACGAAGAGGGACCAGGGACGACGGAAGTCAGCGGAAGTACTGGTGCGGGAAAGCCACTGCCAAGCCCTATTCACTGACCTTTCGGCCCGGGCCGGGAAGGGGCTGGCGGCCCGCCTGGAGGCAGCACGGCGGAGCGGCTCAGGGCCTCGGCCACCCAGTCCAGGACACGGCTACAGTGCTGGACCTGGGGAGGAGGGACACGGAGGGAGAAGGGAACCCTGCTGCCCCGGCCCCTGCCACAGCCCCCCAGCTGGGCCCCACGTCCTCACCTCCTGCTCCAGCCCTTTCAGACGCCTATCGTACTCGCGGATTTGCCCCAGCTGCTTCAACGCAGTATCCACCCTAAGAAAAGGGACCTTCGGGATGGCAGCCCCGCCCACCCGAGAAGCCCCGCCCACAGGGCTCCGCCCCGCCCCTCCACAAGCCCCGCCTCTACACCCAGCAAGTCACGGATGGCCCTGACTACAGGCCTCGCCCGCTCGGGCCCCGCCCTCCCTCTTGTTGCTGTTTTTTGGTACCAGGGATCGAACTCGGGACCTTGCGCTTCTGATGTATACCACTAAGCTAAAGCCCGTGGATCCCTCCCTCACTCACTTCTGAGACGTGCGCTTCAGCCGCTCAGAGTCGCTGTCCCGCTTGTTCCGCGCGCGGGCCAGCAGGAAGCTCTCTTTATGCACCGACTCCCATGTCAGCAGCATCCGCTCATCTTGCTTGGAGAGGTAGACACCTGGTGGGCGCAGCCAATGAGTCAAGCGCCCCTTCCACCCCGGGTGCGCCTCACTCCAGGCCCAGCACCCTCTTCCAGGCCACCTGCCTCAGAGCGATCTGCAGACCCCGCCCCCGGGCGGTCCTAGATTAGCCCCGCCCCCGCCCCTAACTGGTCACGTCTTCTGGCCACACCCGTCTTTCCAGCCGATTTTACTTCCCGAGCTCCACCCACTGAAGGCCAGGTTTCTGTGCTTACGGAAGTGCTCCGGAGAGGCAAATTTGTTGGACCTTCGGCTCCTGCGCAGGCGCCTCAAGAGGAGTCGCACGTGAGAGATAATGATGAGAGGCGGGGCCAGTGCAGGCCGAGAATGGAACTCCCGGATGAGGCTGTAGCGTTGTGCCTTCCAATAGAGGTCGCTGTTGCCCTGTACTTTGCCAAACGTGTAGCTGCAGAGGTCAGAGGTTAAAGGTCATCCAAAACCAAGGCCAGGAGTTGGGCGGAAATAGGTTAGACCTCAGGTGATATATCTTAGAAGTCCATAGCTGCAGGCAGCTATCAGGGTCAACGAAATCAATTATTACAGGACATGATTAGAAGTGGGGTTAGAAGAGGCGAAGGGTTAGACGTCAAAGGTCAAATTGGGGATGGTATGATGGATTAAAGTAGAGGTTGGAGACAGAATTGGAATCAGGCTCAAGACTCTGAGGGCTGGGGATGTAGCTCAGGCATAGAGCACTTGCCTGGCATAAGTGAATCCCTAGGTTCCTTCCCCACCATCACAGAAATCAGAAATGGAAATGAGGATGTTACTGTTCACATTGTAGAAATAAAAAGGATTATACACTATCAACAATTACAAGAACTGTATGCCAACAAATTAGGTAACCTGGACGAAATGGACACATTCCTGAAAACACATAAATTACACTGACTCCAGAGAAAATAGAAAGTCTCAACAGACCTATCAAGAGTAAAGATACTGAGGGCAAATAAAGACAGTGAATCACCAATCAAAACATCTCCAATAAATAAAAGGCACAGGACCAGATGGCTTCAATAGTGAATTAAACGAAACATTTAAAGAATGAAATCCTTTACAAATTCTTCCCAAAAAATTGAAAAGGAGAGAATATGTCCTAAGTTATTCCACGAGGCCCACATTACCATGATACCAAAGCCAAGTAAAGACATCACAAGGAAAGTATAGGCCAATATCCTTTATAAATACACATATGAACAGCCTCAAAAACCAAACCAAGTCCAGCCCCAGATTAAAAGGATCATATATCATGACCAAGTGGGGTTTACAATAAGAAAGTAATGGCAGTTCAGTATGTGAAAATCAATCAATGTCTTGGGCCTGGTGATGTGTGCCTGTGATCCTAATGAAAAAAAAAAAAACAAAAACAAACCCAAAAGATAGAGATGCTTGACAGAAACTGACAGTCTCAAGGCTTGCCCCTCCTTTTAGGCCTATGAAGGTCACTGTGCTGGAAGGATGCACTACTGGAATAACAGCTGCCTATAATTCCCTATGTTTTTGTTTTTTGTTTTGTTTTCCGGAACCTGGGATGGAACTCAGAATCTTGCGCTTGCACCACTGAGCTAAACCTCCAGCCCCTTCCCTATGTCTTAAAGAGAAACTCTAAAAGCAACATTTGCCTCCATCTACCTACCCCTTGCAAAGTTCTGCTTCTATAAAATTCTGCTTGCTTTTCTTCCCCATCTAAAGAGCGATATAAAAATAAAAACAAACTTAAAATCGAAGCTCAGACTCTGGAAGGTGACTTCCACTGGGCCCACCAGCAAATCAACCTGCCTTTCCCTTCAGTTCTCTAAGTTCCGCTCTTCCTTGGTCTGCCTGCCCTCTCAGTGCCATAACACTAGCCCTCAAGGAAACTGAGGCAGGAAGATCACAAGCTCAAGCCTAGCCTGGACAACTTCGTGACTTAGCAAGACTTTGTGTACAAAAACTTTTTTTTTTTGTACCAGGGATCAAACTCGGGTCCTTATGCTTGCGAGGCAGGCGGCGGAACCACTGAGCTAAATCCCCAGCCCTCCAAAAACAATTTTTAAAGGCCCCAGATTCAGAGCCCTCTAAATTAAAAATTAAAAGGCCCTCTAGTACACACACACACACACACACACAAAAAAAAACCAAAGCAATTCATTTGCAATAGCATTTACAAAAATTAAGCACTAGAAATAAACTTAATGAAGAAAATGGGAGACTTACACAGGAAAATTACAAAATATTGCTGGAATACTCTTTTCAGAGTGTATATTAAATGCTACACAAAGCACTCTCCACATTTAATGCAATCACTACAGAAATCTCAACAATCTTTTCTGCAGACATGGAAAATTCAATTGTTAATTATGATGGACTTCCAGGAGGCCCTGAACAGCCCAACTAGTCTTGAAAAATGACAAAGTTGAAGGGCTTACCCTTCCCAATTTCCAGTATGCTGAAAAGCAACAGTATTTGAAACAGCTTGGTACTGGCATAAGGACAGGCATACAGACTCATGGACTAAAAGTCCTGAAATAAACTCATAAATCAGTGCACATTTTAGAGCAAACTATCTCCTTTTAAAAGATATGCTTAGCTGCATATGGTGGCAAATCCCTGTAATCCCAGCACCCACAGGCTGAGGCAGGAGGATCACCTTGAGTTTGATACCAGCCAGACAATACAGTGATTTCAAGGCCAACCTGAACTGCAGAGTGAGACCCTGACTCAAAAAACAAAACAGGGCTGGGGATTTAGCTCAGTGGTTTTGCCACCTGCCTTGCAAGCACAAGGGCCTGAGTTCAATCCCTAGTACAAAAACAAAACCAAAAAGATAGCTCAAGTCCTAACCCCTACTACCTCAGAATATGACTTTATTTGGAAATAGAGTCTTGGCAGAGTAATTAGGTTAAAAGGAGGTCATTGGGTGCTGGCTGCTGTCATTATAAAATGGGGAGATTTAAACACAGACCTACACAGAGAGATGAAAGCAGAGATTTCAGTGGTGCATCTACAAGCCCGAGACGGCCACCACCCCACCAAGAGCCACGGAGATGGGCACGAAACAGATTCTGCCTTACTTAAGCCCTCAGAAGGAACCAACTCTGCCAACACCGTGATCTTGGGTTTGTATCCAGAATTGTGAGACAGTGCATGCCTGTTATTTAAAGACACGCAGGTGTGGAAACTTTATTACAGCCGCCCTAGGAATTTAAACAACAGCTGACTGATTTTAACAAGAGTGCCAAGTCTGACCAAAGGGCAGGAACAGTCTCTTACGCAAGTTAGCCTGGGATGAATGGATCTCCATACACACAGAGAATGAAATTGGGCCCTCACCTCCCATTCCACACAAAAACTTAACTGAGACAGAAGCACCAACAGCCCCCACTGGAAGAGCTATAACCATAGAACTCTTCGGAAAGAAACAAGCAAATCTTCATGACTTTGGACTGGGCAATAGGCCCTTACATCAGAATTATAAGCAACCAAAGAAAAACAGACAAAGTGGATTTCACCAAAATCAAAAGTTTTTGTGCCTCATTAAGACATTACCAAGAAAAGAGAGACAGCCTACTGAGTGGGAGAAAACGTTTGTGAATCAAATAGACGTTTATAGAATGTATAAGGAACTGTGGCCATCGCAAAAAGACTGACAACCAATTTTACAATGGGGAAAAGGTGAGTATGCTTTTCTCCAAAGAGAAAATAACAGACCAATAAACAGAGGGACAACTGTTCAACACCAGCCATCGTCAAGGAAATGCAAATACAAACCGGAAGAAGACACCACTTTACCAGCGCTAGGCTCATTACGGTTTTTCACAAGTTAAGTAACAAGGACTGGCACAGACGTGGAGAAACAAGAAACCTCATTGTGCTGGTGAGGCTGTAAACTGACACAACTGCTGTGGGAAAGGGTTGGGCAGATCTTCAAAAAGCTAAACATAGAGTCACAAGATAACCCAGCAATGCCACGTCTAGGTACATGGCCCAAAGATATAAAACAGGGACCGGAAGGGTCAGGGATGTAGCTCTGTGGTTCTGCTACCTACCTCGCAGGCTGAAGGTCCTGAGTTCGATCCCTGGTACCAAACAAAAAGCAAAAAAACAACCAACCAACAAAACAAAAACTTGAACTGACGTTTACATGCTGACAGTCCCTGGGGCACGACTCGCAAGAGCCAGAAAGGTGGAAACAATCCATGATTCCATCTCAGATAAATAAGCAATCAACACACACGTCCTGACAGTGGAATATTATTCAGCCATAAAAAGGCATTAAGTTCTGACACGTTGCTATTACATAGCTGTAAGCTTGAAAATGCTGTGCTAAGTGAAAGAAGCCAGACACAAAAGGGCAGATAGTGTACAAACCACAGACAAGGGCATGAAACATCTAGAACAGGTCAATCCAGAGGTGGAAAGCAGATTCAAGATTACCAAGGACTGTCAAGGGAAACACGAATTATTAACAGTGGAAATGACGGGGGTGGAGGGGGTTGCGGAGCACTATGAATGTAATTAATGTCACCGAATTGTACACCTACAAATGGTAAAAAGGGTCAATTTTCTATTATATGTATTTAACCACAATTTAAAAAAATTTTTTTGGCCTTGGCTGAGCGAGATCAGAGTCCAAAGCCCAAGTGAAGAACCAAGCCTGGCCGGATTCGAGGACAAGTCAGTGAGTCTTAGCTTGTTTTTCATTTCGGTTTTGGTTTTTGGAGACAGGGTCTCACTATGTAGCCCAAGCTGGCCTCAAACCAGAAATAATCCTCCTGCCTCAGCCTCCCAGAGCTGGGATTACAAGCGCGCACTGCCACGCCTGGCTGTGGCGTCAGACCGAGTCAGAGCCTGCACCGCTGAGCCCGGCTCGGTAATCTGGCTGGGGTGCAGGGCCAGCTGGTGAGGCGGTCAGAGCGCCGGGCCTCACCTGAACATGGCGATGAGCAGGTTCAGCAGTAGGATGTTGGCCACCAGCAGGAAAACGACGAGGAGCAGCACCACCAGCCAGTTGGCGTAGAGGGAGACGCAGGAGCCCGCCTGGCGCCCCGGAGGCTGAGCCCAGGCGCCCTCCTCGGACGTGCAGTTCGTGGGCGTCATGAGGGCCACTGCGAAAGCAGACCCTCAGGGACCTGAAGGGGACTGCAGGGGCGGGGCGGAGACCCACAGCGGGGACACAGGAGAGTGCGAGGGGGACGGAGACCCGGAGCGAGGACGCAGGTCCCGGGCCCTACCGTCCATGTCCTCCTGGGGGATCTGCCCAAAGATCTGCAGGTAGGGCCGGTAGAAGACACGGCGCAGGATGCTGGGGAGATCACGGTCGCGGGGCCTTAGCAGCCCCTCAGTGGCCACGCCGTAGGCAACCAGCCAGACACCGAGGAAGAAGAGGAAGAAGAAGACGTCCTTCATCTGCAGAGGAGGAGGATGCTGAGCCGGCCCCGCCCCCAGGCCACGCCCCGAGGCCACGCCTCCAGAGACTCACCATCTTGTTCACGATGATGATCTTGGGCCCCAGCTGCTTGTTCACAGTGAAGATGTGCAGCAGCCGCAGTGTGAAGATCATGAAGTCAAGGCACAGCACGGTGTGGCCCAGGTCATACAGACCCGGGGTCAGCCTGGGGTTGGGGGACATGCGACACGGTCACTCGAGGGCCATGGAGGACCTGAGGCCTCCACAGGACAGAACCGGGACCCCTGATTCACATGGGGTCCTGTTACCAGTGTGCACTGGGGCACAGGGCACTGCACACCTAAATGACTACTAAATGAAAGGTTAAGATTAGGAAAAAGCTGTGGCGTCCCTGTATGAATCAAGCTGAAAAGACTGCCAGAAGCAGGCCTGGCGGCCAGTAATGCCAGCTCTCCAGAGGCCGAGGCAGGAGGATCAAGAGTTCAAGGCCAGGGACCAGGGATTTAACTCAGTGGTTCCATCACCTGCCTCACAAGGGTAAGGTCCTGAGTTCGATCCCCCGTACAAAAAAAAAAAAAAAAAAAAAAAAAAAAGTTTAAGGCCAGCCTGGGTTGGAGTGAGACCCTGCCTCAAAAATGCGGGAATAAGGGCCGGGGAAAAAGCTCAGTGCTTCTGGCACCTGCCTTGCAAGCTCAAGGATCCGAGTTTGATCCCCGGTACCACAAAAAACAAACAACAACAACAACAACAACAAAACAAAACTGCTGGAATAGCTGCCCAACCATTAAAAGCAAAATATATACAGATCGTGTGAATTATAATCAGTCTAACAGGAAACAGGATGAAGGGTAAGACACGCAGTTCACAGAAGTGCAAAGGCCAGTGAATACCAGCAACATCCGCAGGAAAATAACAACTACAGTCCTACTTTGTATCACCCTGCACTTAACTTGGGATGGACTGAACCTAGTGTGAAAGGCAAACGTTGAAGTCTTCAGAGGAAAACACAGACTTGCTTTATGAGGTTGGGTAGGACAGGATATCATAGGGGAAAAGTCAAGGCCACCCTGGGCTGCATAGTGAGACGCTGCCTTAAAAAACAGAAAACATGGGCTGGGGATTTAGCTCAGTGGTTCCACTGCCTGCCTCACAAGCCCAACGTCCCAAGTTTGATCTCCAGTGCCAACAAACAAACAACCAGAAAACAGGTGAAGAGGGTGAAGGGAGGGCAGGGGAATGGGGAAAAAATAAGAACCAAGATACATCTTGTAAATGTACAAGATCCCAATGATGAATGTTACTGTATTGTTTATCTTAAATTTATCAATAAACTTAATTTTTAAAAAACAAACAAACAAACAAAAATAACAAGACATAAAATCATAAGTCATGAACATAAAAATACAATAACGAAAAAGTTGATGAGTTTGACTACTTTGAAATATAAAATTCCTGTGCGTGATATGGATATGGAACTGAAAAAGGGAAAACACCCTTTCTTTAGCATTTCTGCCAAAATGCAGAGCCTAATTTTGTTCACAAGGGAACATAGATCAAACCCACATCAAAAGCACCCTTTCCAGCCACCACCGGGCCCTCAACAGGGTGGAGCTCACAACTGCAAAGCAGAGAGGACCTCAGTAGAAAGGCCCTGGTTAGCTCCAGGGCCGGGAAGGGTGTCAGTGGGAGAGCTGGTAGGGTTTGGGTGTGGTTTCTGAGTACAGATCATGTCTGTTGTCAACATCGGAAAGGCCTGCTTTAAAAAGGTCTGGAGAACTCTTTGGGCTGTTTCTGCAATTTTAAGTCTCAGATTTTTTTCAATATAAAAAAATTAAAAATAGAAGAATATTTAAGATAGCATACAAAATGAAAAGTCAAATGCTCAGGCACGGTGGCACACATCTGTAACCCCAGCACTCAAGACACTGAGCTAGGAGAATCTCCGTGAGTTCGTGTCCGCTGTGGCTTCATAGTGAGCTCAAGGCTGGCTTTGAATACATAGCAAGGCCTTGTCTCAGGAAAAAAAAAAAAAAGACAAGCTGCAAGTTGCAAGAAGATAGCTAAAAGAACAAAACTAGGGGAAAAAATGAGAACTAAGACTTGTCATGTAAAGGTACAAGATCCCAATAATGAATGTGACTGTACTGTGTACCTAACATGTACCAATAAACTCAATGAGGAAAAAAGATAAAAATAAGAACAAAAGTACTAGGGTGGGTGATCTGTGAACTCCCATACAAAACTGGAAAGAGAGGATAAAATATGAAGATTATTGACACAGTGCCCCACATGGTCATTAAGCTTACAAAAAGATGCCCAACTTACCTAGAGGGGTCATGTGAACTAAAAGGAGAGAAAATCACCTTCATGCAACAGATGGACAAAAATTGTGAAAGCCAAGTTGAGAGCTAGAAAATGTTATAGATGGACAGTTGTAGGAATTACTACTGCCTCGAGGGGGCACTATTGTGCCCTAGTGGTGCTTGTGTGCTTGGGCAAAGCTACCTAACAGGAAATCCAGGTCAATAATGTATGTGCAGCAGGCATGCACATGCCTGTAATCCCAGCACTCGGGAGGCTGAGGCAGGAGGATCGCTGTCAGTTCAAGACCAGCCTGGGCTTCATAGTGAGTTCCAGGTCAGTCTCAACTATATAGTGAGACCCTGTCTCAAAAACAACAACAACAACAAAAATAATAATAATAAAGTATGTGCCCTTTGATTCACCTACTTTCATCTGGGATGAAAACTTTTATTGTTTTGGAATTATAGCAATAGAAATAATCTAAATGTCCATCTAGAGAGGACTGGCAAAATAAAGTGATGCAGCCAGGAATAGTGTCACCTGCCTGTGATCCCAGCAGTAGGGAGACTGAGGCAGGAGGATCACTGCAAGTTCAAGGCCAGCCTGGACTTCATAGCAAGACCCTGTCTCAAAATTAATTAATAAAGTGATTCATCCATTTGCCTGGGGAAGTAAGTGGACACCTCTTCCTAGAGCTGAGTGCTTCTCATTTTTGCCAAGCAGTGATTCTTCTGCCATCTGGAAAGAGGTGGAGTTGATAAAATAGCCAAAGTAGGCCTGGCATCCCTACAGCAGGACAGGAGAGGCCTTGTCCTTTCATCTCGGAAGACACTTTGTACAAAATAAATGAGGGGTGGCATTAGTGTGCTGCTTGGTCTGGATAAACAACTGTGTCAGGTGACTTCGTATCACTGTGACCCTGCACAGTGGAAGCTGTTTCCCAGACCAGCTGACAGAGCTTGAACAGGGTCATTGCTGTCTCCCAAGGATTTTGCTTTTTTTTTTTCCTTTGTAGTACTGAAGATGGAACCCAGAACCTTATGCATGCTCTACCACTAAGGTGAATCTCCAACCCTTTTTATTTTTATCTTGAGACAGGTCTCGTTAAATTGTCTAGGCTGACCTCCAACTTGGGATCTGCCTGCCTCAGCCTCCTAAGTAACAGGGATTACAGGTGTGCACCATTGCAACTGCCACAGGGAGGAAGATAAATGGAAGGGAGGGAGGGAGGGACGGAGAAGGAGACTTATTGGCAGAAGAAACAAAGCAGTTACTCTCTGACTGTAACTTCATACTATCTTGAGTAGAAAATGAAAGAAACCTTGTTGAAGAAACAGGATGATTTTTCTCTCTTGAGCTTCAGAACTTTTGTCTCATTGCCTTATAAAAAGAACAGCTTCTTTCATTAAATTCTGGCAAAAAGCAATCTTTTTGCAACTGATCCTTAGCCAAGGATCTAATCCTGATGGTTCTAATCCTGTCCTCTGAAATCTGATGGGGCATTTTCAGAGAGTAAGATACATTTCCAAATACTGACGGTGAAAGAACTTCAGGATACGCTGTCGAGAAAAAGGAAAAGTGGCCAGAAAAATACATATCACATCATTTACATACAAACAATCTGTCCAGGAAATGAACAGAAAAAGAGCCGACAGGGTGTTCCCCAAACTGTCAATAGAAGGACCTCTGAGAAAGGCAGGGTGTTTTCGACCCCTGAGGAAAACCTTCAGTTTCTGATCTGTCCTTTATTTTTAAAAAATCTTGTTCAATGAGGACATATTTCTCCTTTTTAAATTTTTTGCTTTTATTTTTATTTTTAATTTATTTGGGGGGGATAAGAGACTATATTTAAAAGATGGTTAGGGCCAGGGATTTAGCTCAGTGGCACCACTCCTGCCTTGCAATTGCAAGGTCCTGAGTTCGCTCCCCAGTACCAGAAAAAAAAAAAAAGACGGTTTAAGGGCCAGATGTAGTGGCATATGCTTATAATCCCAGCACTTGGGAGGCTGAGGCAAGAGGATTGCCATGAGCTGGAGGCCGCCTTGGGCTACCTAGTGAGTAGCCTGAACTACACAGACCATCTCAAAAAAAAGAGAAAGAAAACCCAGACACAAATAAATAAAGAAAGAAATAAATCTGTGGGCCTGGTTTAAACTGCTGAAAGGATGAGACAGATGTCACGTGAGGAATTTACAATCACATGTGAGGGGGGTACTGGGAGAAGCCATGGTCAGCGCACCATTTAGGGGGATCTCGACCAGAGTCTGGAAGGACAAGGACCCTCTCAAATGTGGGGACAGCTGGCTGAAGTCTAAAGGAAGCATCAGAGTTGGCCTGGCCATTCCTGGGCAGCAATGATCCTAGACTCTGCAAGAGGCTGAGGCAGGAGGATCACAGATTTGAGCCCAGCCAGGGCAACTTAGAGAGACTGTGATGCAAAATAAAAAAATACTTAGGGACAAGGGATATAGCACATGCAAAGGCCCTGGGTTCCGTGCCCTGGAGAGACGCCTAAGCCTGGGTCTGGGCCCACTCACCGGCAGCCCACACCCAGCAGGAAGCAGGTGAGGGCCAGCAGGTCGCACTGGTTCCAGGTGTCGGCCACGTAGAGTTGAAGGCGGTGGCGTAACGGGACGTGCCCGGGCCGGGGACCTCCGCTGACCAGACTCCCCCAGCCTCCACCCAGGCCCTGGCGCAGCTCCTCGCACAGCAGAGTGAAGGCCCAGAAGTACAGCAGCAGCTCCCAGAGCCGCGGCGCCCCCGGCTGGAAGTCGAGCAGCAGTACACGCGCAAAGAGCAGCAGGAAGAGCAGGTAGCTGACCACGTTGCCCACGAAGGCGGTCACTGGCGACCCCCAGAAGTGAGTCCAGCGGCACAGGCAGCGGCGCCCTGAGCAGCGGCCACCTCGGCCCCGCGGCTGTACCTTCCCCGGGGAGTCGCTAGGTCTGTGGGGAGAAGGGAGGAGGAGGCGGTTTCAGTCCCGAGCCCTGACCCGCACCTGGAGCACCTCTCCCCACCCCAGCTGTGAGACGGGGTCTCACTAAATCGCCCAGGCTGGCCTCAACCTTGCAGTCCTCCTGCCTCAGCCTCCACGGATGTAGGAACCACCATCCCTGGCTGCCTGCAGCCTTGACCCTTATTATCTAACCTCTGACCTCTGAAAATTCCTGCATTGAGTTGCTGATTTTCTCGCTCTGGCTTTCCCCGCCCTTTTGAACTCTGATTTCTGACTCTTGTCTGGCTTTCGATTCCAAATCCCTCTTTTTTCCTTTCAGAACCTCTGACTTGAGCCATCTGCTGACTGGACCCCAAGATGACCTGTGACCTCCAGGTTCCACATCCCTGTCCCTGAAGATTAACTTCTGGCCGGCAGATTCCAGTCTGAGCTTATCCGGCCCAGGCTGCTCACATAACTTCCTTCCCCGTGTTTAATCGATGACCACACAACCAAAATTGCCTTCTGAATTCTGGCCTGGAAAATCTGCTCAAATCTCTGACCCTTCTCCATTGGGTGCTGGTCCTCTGTCCTGATTTCTTCCTCTTACATCTGACCTTAAATCTGAAACACCCAAATGAATGGGAGTACTTAGTATTAATCAATTCAAAACTAACAGGAAGGCCAAAAATAAAAATAAAAAAATAAACTTGCTTTGTAGCCCAAACATTTCTCTTGATTTTGTCTTTTTTTAGTACCGGTGATCTAACTCAGGACCTTGTGCTTTTGAGGCAGGCAGTGACACCACTGAGCTAAATCCCTGACTCCAGTTTTGTCCTCTATCTTGTTTTTGTTTTTTTCCAGTATGGGGCATCAAACTCATGACCTTGTGCTTGCCAGGCAGGTGTGGCACCGCTGAAAGACATCCCTTCACTTCTACCTTGAATGTTCGGTATTTTTTTGTATGTACACTGTCTCAAATAGCAACATAAGCAAATTTATTAATTAAAAAAACAATATATGCATATATAGTCATGTGCCACTTACCGAAAGGGACACACTCTGAGAAATGCGTCATTAGGCAATTTTGTCATTGCACAAGCGCCACACAAATTAAGGTGGCTTTTTTTTTTTGGTGGTGGTGGTGGTGCTAAGGACAGAACTCAGGACCTCACACGTGCCAGGCAGGTGCTCTACTATTGAGCTGCACCCTGCCTCATAAGCCTGATTTTTTTATGTGGGCAAAGTCTGAGACAGGATCTCACTATGTAATTTAGGCTGGCCTTAAATTCACAGTGACTCTCCTGCCTCAGCCTCCTGAGTGCTTGGATTACAGGCATGTGCCATGATACCTAGTTTATAACCTTGATTTTTAGAAAACCTTCATGACTACCACAAGATACTGTAAGAGCTGTAAGAGCAACAGCTCAGGGGTCAGGAAAAAAAATCCAAGGAAAAGCCCTAAATAAACCATTTCCACCTGACCGCCCTTGCTACAGACAACCAAAAGCACATACAGTCTGAGGCACAGGGTTTCTAGTGACCTCCTTGGTGGCAGAGGCAAATCTCAAGCCAGGCCAGGAGCTTGGCCTTGAGCCCAGTGGCTCCAAGGATGTGGAGGCCACACACGTCCCGAAACTGCCCCGGACACCCCCACCTCACACAGTGCTGGGGCTGTCACTCACCCAAGGGGACCCTCCCCATTAACGTGTATGTCCATGTCAACGTCAGGGCTCCTCTGATGCTGTGTGGACTCCTCTTCTGGTTTCCTGGCATGGAGAAGTAAGAATCAGACAGGGGTTTCCAGACAGACTCAGAGTTCTTTACCCAAAGACACTGCACAGAGACAGAAAGGTGGCTCCCAAAGTCACACCAGAGGGAACTTCTCCTAGGACCGTGGCCAGAAAAGCAGAGGAGCTGCCCCTAGAGACACCCGGGGAGCACCCCAAAAGCTCACCTTCCAGAAGGTTCCATCCAGGGGAGGGACAGAGAGGCCCTCTGTCAGGGGAGGGGTGCACCAGGCAGGCCCAGCAAGGAAGGTGAGCGGAAGTGAGCTGGAAGAGTAACTGGGCACTGACCTGAAGGCGATGAGGTTGGTGTAGATCAGTGGGGGGCAGAAGAAGGCGAGAACCAGGGCCCAGGTGGGGGTGGCGCTGTCCATCTCCCCCCACCACTTCTGCGTCAGCAGCGACTGCGGGGCGTGGGGAACATCAGGAGCCTGAGTCCCCCCCAGCCTCCCACTAAACCCCTGCTGGAGGCCTGGGCCACGGCTCCAGGGCACAGAGCAAGCGCCAGCGTAGGGGCCACGGCTGTGAGAGGTTGAGGGACGGTGGTCAGAGGCAGACAACTTATGGACATCATGAGCCAGATATTAGGCTGAGCCCTTTCCAGACTCTCTCACCTCACCCCGGCCACCCCCGAAGAGGGTGGTGCTAGTACTTTCTCCTCTTCACATCCAAGGCAGAGATGTTGAAGAAATGACTCAAGGAAATCAGTAAGTAGTAGGGTTTCCACTAGTTTCTCCACCGTGCAGAGCAAGTGGCTCTGGGTAATTACTGAAATCCCAGCCAAATCATCCTAATAGGTGAGGACGGGACTTCCTGTTTGTGTAAACAAGACTTCCTGCTGGGGGCACAGAACCTTCCGTGTGGAGGGTGGGAACTTCTGTGCTCTGGTCAGATTTAAATGAAGGCTATTGAGGGCCAGGCCACGACATGCCTGTAATCCCAGCACTCGGAAGGCTGAGGTGGGACGATCGCCATGAGTCCAAAGCCAGCCTGAACTACAGGATGAGTGTATCTCAGAAAATAAGTGAGGGCTACTGAGAAAATTTACAAAATGTCCAACTGTCAGGATGGAAGAGAATTTGGGGCAAGCAGTACCACCCTTGGAAAAGAATTTCCTATAGGAAGGGTGGGATTTCCTAAACAAAAGTTTGCCCACGTTCAAAGCACTAGGTTAGTATTTGCGAGGTCATTCTAATCACTGAGAATCAGAACTAGGGACCTCGTAAGTATAAAGGACTTCCTGTAGATGAAGCAGGGCTTCCTCGGGCCCCATAACTGCAGCTGAGATGGGACTTCCTCTGAGAAGGACTTCTCTAACTGAGAGGCAGGCCCGCCTACTGGAAGCAACAGAGCCAGGCTGGCCCAGGAGTGTGGCCTTCAGGGGCTGCTCCCAGTGAAAGGGGCTCATCCACAGAGTCCTCAGAGTCAGATGCTCACCTGGACCCCATCCTGGGCAAAGAAGGCTCGAGCATCAGCCTGCATGGCAAGCTGCAGACAGGTGGCATTGCCCCAGAGCGGGCAGCGACGGAGGAGGAGGCGGAAGGCCCGTTCCTCGCTGCTGCGGTAGCACTCTCCGAAGAGGTCTGGGGACAAGGGGCTCAGTGGGGGGAGGGAAGGAGCAGACAGGGGTGTGGGGAGGGTGGGGGACACACATCCCCCTCCCACGGCTGCCCAGGCTCTGGTCCCAGCCGTGGTGCCCACGCACCGACACCCATGCTCTCAAACTTGGCCGCCAGCTCTTTCCGCCGGGCCACCTCCTCAGCCTCAGTTTCCAGGCGGGCCATCACTCGGAGCAGCAAACAGGCCCCAAGAGCAGAGGACACAGCGTTGGAGCCCTAGGGAGACAGACAGTGGATGGGGTCAGAGTCTGGGGCGGGGGGCAGAAATTAACTGGGGTCACCAGAGGCCTTCACTGAGACCAACACTCAATGGTCCCACTGAGGGGAGGTCCAGAGAGCTGTCACACTCGGCAGACAGAGGAGGTTGGGTGAATGGAGAGTTATTTTTTCACAGGTAGAGAGTTCAGTTTGGAAAGTTCTGCAAATAAACAGCAGCAGTGTTTGTACAACAATGTGAATGCTGCAAAAGATGTACACTTAAAAATTGTTTAAATGGTCATTTTCTTTTTTTGTTGGGAGACAGGCTCTCACTAAATTGTCCAGGATAGACTTGAATTCTTTTTTTTCCGCTGGTACCAGGGATTGAACGTAGGACCTTGCACTTGCCAGGCAGGCACGGTGCCACGGAGCTACATCCCCATCCCTTGGACTTGAACCTGATTCTCCTTCCTCAGCCTTCTGGGTGCTGGAATTGCAGGTGTGCACCACTACAACTGGCTTAAAATGGTAAAGTTTATGTTATGTATATTTTACAATTGGGAGGGCAGTTTGAGGCAGGGTCTCACTATGCACTTGAGACTGACCTGGAACTCACCGTGTAGCCCAGGCTGGTCTCGAACTCACAGCGATCCTCCTGCCTCAGCCTCCCAAGTGCTGGGATTACAGGCGTGCGCCACCACACCCCGCAATTTTACAATTTTTTGAAAACAGAACATTTGTTGACAAGAACATAGAGAAGATGAAACTGCTTTATATTGCTGGTGAGAATGTAAACCCCAGCAGTCATTGTGGAAGAGTATGGCGGTTCCTCAAAAACATCAAACACAAAGTGTCTTAGTTACTTTTCTCCTTGCTGAAACAAAATACTCGACACCCAAAGTTAAAGGAGGAAAGGTTTATTTAGCTCACAGCTTGGAGAGGTTTCAGGCCATAACTGGCTGAGACTCCAAGGCAGGGTGGCATAGCAAGAGGACCGCAAAGAAACAGTTCATGGCCAGCAGAAGGAAGCACAGCAAAGCAAGGGAGAGGCCTTAGCAGCTTTTTCCTGCCCCGTTTATACTCTATCTAGGCTACAGGGACTAGAGCAGTACCAAACCAATCAGTAGACTGATTTAGAAATCGCTCATACTTAATCCTCGCACCCTTAATCACTCACACACTCTTGATTCAGCCACCTCTGAAAAAGCCCCACCTATGACTTCTTGAGGCTTTCGGGGTGACATCTAGACACAAGCTCTAACACAAGGTTACTGTATGACCCAGCAAATCCACTTCTAGATAAATGGCTAAAGGAGTGTTGAAACAAACCTGTACGTGAATATTCACACCAGCCTTATTCACAATGGCCAAAAAGCAGAACAACTCAAATGAATGCCTGGAAGGTAAAATGGGATCTGTTCGTACGATGGAATATTATTTGGCCACGAAAAGGAATGGAGCACTGCTAGCTGCTATAGTATGGATGAACTCCAAAAACATGCTGAGGAAAGAAACCAGTCACCAAAGGCCGCAGCGCATATGGTTGTATTTAGATGGAATCTCTGAAACAGGCAACGCATAGAGACAGGAAACAGATTAGCGGCCACTAGAGGGCGGGGAGATCGGAATGTGGACTGACTGCTTGGGGAGTAAAAGGTTTCGGGTTCCAGTGGTTTCACGTTCTGGAAGTAGGCAGTGTGATGATTAATAACAGTGAATGTACTAAATGCTCCTCAATTGTAAACTTCAAAATGGGTTGCGTGGGGAAGCCAGGCGTGATGCTGCTTGCCTGTGGCCCCAGCTACGAGGAAGGCAGAGGCAGGATCACAAGTTGGAGCCCAGCCTAGGCAACTTAGAAAGATCTTGTCTCAAAATATAAAAAGGGGGCTGGGGATTTAGCTCAGTGGTGCCACTGCCTGCCTCGCAAGTGCAAGGACCCAAGTTCAAATCCCGGTACAAAAAAAAGAAAAAAAAAAGATAGATAGATAGATAGATATACATATAGGTAGATATAGATATAGAGAGAGGGCTGGAGATGTAGCTCAGAGGCCCTGGGTTTAATTCCCAGTTCAAAAAAAGTGTAAGTGGTCAATCTTATATGAATATTTATCTAAATTTTTAAAAATCTCAATTTAAAACAATTTGAACCTATGACCTGATGTGTTGAAACAGCCCATGGTCTTTGTTTATTGTTTTGCTTTGTTTTGTTTTTGAGACAAGGTCGTCCTCGGTAATTCAGGCTGGCCTCAAACTCACAGGGTCCTCCTGCCTCAGCCTCCCAAGTGCTGAGATTATAGGTAGGTTCTAGGGGATAAAAGCAACTGCGTTTTGGATCCCATTAGAATCCCATGATTTCCCTGCTCTTGTCTCAGCTTCTCAGACTTCTCCCATGTGCTACACCTGCCCCTGCGAGTGGGACTATGTGGAAATGACTTCCTATGAGCTGCAGGGTCAGGTCCAACCTGCCTCTCTAAACCACTGCAAAGGAGCTGGATCTGTACGACCACAGGCAGATGCCCGATATATAGCACTGTACATTGTTCATGGAAAAATCTGCTTATGAAAAATGCATGCCATAGGGAACAGAAAAATGACACCGTCGGTGTCAAATATCACACACTGAAGACGAGTGTGGCCCGGATTGTCAGAGGTCAGGGCACCGTGCAGAGGCCCCTGGTGTCCCTTGGGCCGCCCTCAGGAGAAGGATCCGAGGCGGGCGTCGGCACTCACCATCTCCCAGAAGTACATGGCCATCTGGGCTCTGTTGAGCAGCAGCGCCCAGAAGAGCAGGTCGCTCCAGGGCGCGTGTCCCAAACTGGCTTCCAGCGCGGGTTCCGAGATGGCCCAATCAGAAAGCAGAAAAACCTGCAGGCGCGGGAGGCGTGGCTGGGGCTGGCCATTTCCGGCCGGGGGTGGGGTCCCGCC